ATGGAGCGTTCCACGTGGATGCGGGCGATGCTGACTTTTCTTCTTATACAGGGTGGGTCGAAAGTCAGTGGGCATACGTTGGCCTTAATAGCTCAGTCACTGAGTGACCAATTGAAATAATTCTTTCTGGTATGACTTACTACCACCACTGGTTCGAGGAATTTGTCAATCGAAAAATATTAGAGTTAATTTTTTTCAAACGAAGGTTCATTTTTACATTTATTTGATAGTTTAGATAGTCGGAACGAGCTAGATTTTATTGAATTGTGTTAAGGCTGCCCAATTAAGGTGTCCGCGTGTATGGCGGCCGAGATGGCTCACCAAAATTTTCACTGAAAATTTTGAATTAAAAAATTAATTATACAATTAATCGCAAAATAAAAACGATTTTGAATTTGATTTGTAAAATGATTTTAAAATTTAAATAAAAAACGATTTTCATTTTTAAAACGATTTTGAGTTTGATTTTGAAAACGATATTGATTTTAATTTTGATTTTGATTTTGATTTTGAAAACGATATTGGTTTTGATTTTAAAAACGATATTGATTTTGATTTTAAAAACGATATTGATTTTGATTTTGAAAACGATATTGATTTTGATTTCGGCGGCCGAGATGGCTCAGCTAGCTAAAACCGTATGGGATTTATGTTCTGGGGTATTTGGAACAGGTTCAGGGGTTTGAATAGTTAGTACCTGTCCCAAACCATCAGAAAAATCAAGTTTCGACCTCCCAACCCACTCAGGCCACTCCCAGGGGCCACGCCCATCCCAAAATAGCTGAAATCCAGATAGTTAGATGGGCGTGGCCCCTGTGAGTGGCCTGATGCTGAGTGGGTTGGGAGGTCGAAACTTGATTTTTCTGATGGTTTGGGACAGGTACTAACTATTTAAACCCCTGAACCTGTTCCAAATACCCCGGAACATAAATCCCATACGGCTAATTAGCTAGCTGAGCCATCTCGGCCGCCACCAAAAAAAAAAAAAAAAAAAACCATTTTCAAAATCAAAATGGTTTTCAAAATCAATATCGTTTTCGAAATCAAAATCAATATCGTTTTCAAAATCAAAATCGATATCGTTTTTAAAATCAAAATCAATATCGTTTTAAAAATCAAAACCAATATCGTTTTCAAAATCAAAATCAATATCGTTTTCAAAATCAAACTCAAAATCGTTTTAAAAATGAAAATCGTTTTTTATTTAAATTTTAAAATCATTTTACAAATCAAATTCAAAATCGTTTTTATTTTGCGATTAATTGTATAATTAATTTTTTAATTCAAAATTTTCAGTGAAAATTTTGGTGAGCCATCTCGGCCGCCATAGTCGTGTCACGGTGTCACATAATCACCTAGTCAATTTTGTTAACGAGATACACAAAATATCAAATAACGGAGTAGTTCGCTGTTTATTAGTCTCATGATTGAAATACTGATATCTGGATATTATCCGGTTGGAAGAGACAAGGACAAGTGAAACAAGGAAGTTAGGAGTAAGGGCAAATTTTCGGCGTCAACGTCATCTTCAGGCTAAAATTGTTATAAATGTTAGTATATAATAAATGCTTCTATACTAGTTAAAATGCTAAATTGAAATTACACACACTGAATAGAGGTTACATCAAATGGTATTATACATTACATTGAAAATAGTGATGTACACACGTTTTACACTCTGTCCAAGTACATAATATCTACTGAACATAAGGGTCGTGTGCTATTTGTTTAAATTTGTCTTTGAATATGTTGTAAAAGAAATCCCTTAAGCTTCTCGCACTCTTCTTTGTTATTGATACTAGGTTTAAATAAATTAATGTAGTAAGCTTCTGTCACTTTACGTTTAATGGTGCTATATAAGTTAATTTCTAAAATATCGAAGGAAATATCTGGTTCTAAGTTATTGTGAAACTCTGAATAATGAGCAGCCAACGCATTATCAGGATAGGTTAAAGGCCTGTTGACTGCTCTTCGATGCTCTGAAAATCTATCGTGTGCTGTTCTACTCGTTTCCCCTATATATAGCTCTTGACATAATTTACATGTAACTTTGTATGTGACACATTTTGGTTTGCAGTCGTGATTTGTTGTGATGAGTGGACATATGATACAGTTTGGTATGGTGCAGTGTGGTTTGTCGTGTGGTCGTGATGAACATAAGATCTCTGAGAGTTTCTTACCTGGTGTGAATATGAATTTGACCGGTAAGTTGTGTGAGAGGGCAAATTGAGTGACTTCTTTGGAAAATGGCTCGTTGATGAATGGTAGAGTGCATGTTACGTGGTCGGTATCTTGTATGTTTGATGATGAAGGGTTATGACGTGTTGTAGGTGAGAGAGGGTGAAGTCGTCCTGTTTTGTTTATACGTCGTGGGTCTTGGTAACCGTTGTTGACCAACAAGTTGTCTACTATCTTCATGGACTCTTCTTTATACTCTGGTGTTGATGAGCAAAAAGCAGCCGTTTTGTAGAAGTTCTTGATGGTGGCTACTTTAGTTCCCTCATTGTGGTGGCTGTTGGCGTGCAGTGTGATATTCTTTTTCTGCTTCTTTCTGTAGAATTTGTGGTGTAGTGTTCCCTGTTCGTCGATCTTTATCTGGGTGTCGAGGAATGGGGTGAAATCCTGACGGCTTTCCGGATAGTCAATTTCCCATTTGAGCAACTGGTCTGGGTCCTCGTTTGAGATGGACTCCACTATCCTCAGAGCTTCTTCTTTGGAGCTGGCTAGACTCCCGGCATCATCCACGTATCTCCGGTAGAATGAGACGTGTAAATCAGTGTAAATCGATCTTCTCTCGAACATATGTACTCGTACTATCGCTCCTATTGGTGATGGTTGGCACGCCATGAAGAGACCAATTTTCTGGAGGTAGAGTCTTGAGTGATATGTAAAGTATGAGTTGGTGAAGACGAATTCAAGGATCTTGTGGATGTGCGTGAGTGTTAGACCCCAGGTGTCGAGGTCTTCCCAATGTTCTTCGGTGAGTGTAATGAGGTCTTGAATGCAGCCACTGATGTTGATGTTTGTGTACAGTGCTGTGACGTCAGCTGTGAAGAATGAGAGACCTGAGAGTTGTTGATGTGACATGTTTTGAAGCTCTTCTAGGTGAGTGTGTATATTGCTCAGGTGAGATGGAACATGATTAAGCAGAGGAGATAGAATAGATTTAACAATCCAAGCAAGCTTCTCAGAAGGGGAATTTATACAAGACACAATTGGACGTATTTTACAATTAGAAATAATATCTACATCTGAAACTAAGACATTACAATCAAATTTATGAGTTTTCTGTATTAAATAAATAGTCGGTAGTTGGGTATTATGTGCAGTGGCGTAACAAAAGGCCCTGCTGACCCCGCTGTGCAGGGGGGCGCCGTCTTAGGGGGGCGCCAAATCGTCGTTTGAATGTGGGACAATTTCGAAAACTTAACTAAAGTACTAGCAAAACTGCGCGTTTTTCTCTAGATACACACTTTTTTAGAGATTTTACCGGCGTATTCTCTAAAATCACCTAATTTGTTCAATTTTAGGGAGGGGCACCAAAAGGGGAGGGGGCGCCAACAGGGGGGCGCTTTTTTCGGCAGGGGGCGCCAATAGGCAACGTTACGCCACTGATTATGTGATTTAAATAAGTCTACTGTTTTGCTGTCGTAATTACACATCCTACTTATCTCTGTCCATAACACATTACTCTCACTCTCTAGTCTCTCAGTAACCCTGTTGATGAGGCGGCTGTAGGAGACTTCTGAGGGGTTTGCTATTGGTTGGATCCGATTTTGTCGCGTGGTGGTAGGTGCAACGTAGGTGTACGCTTCTTGCGAGCTCATGTCTGACAGATGTTTCTGCGTAATCTGCTGTTGTACTCCACTACTCATAATCACAAACTCACCCCCCTTGTCGCTTCTCGAGAAGTGGAGTTCTTCTTTTCTTGCAATCAAGGATTTGAGTCCCTCCCGTTGTTTTGCTGTTATGTTAGAGGGTACTTTACTGTGTTCTAATCTGGTGTTAATGATGTAAGACAGTTGGCGGAGGTGATGTTCCATGGCGAGGTTGGTGGTGGGTGGAGCACCAGCAAACGGTCGTTGAAATGGCACGTTTTTCGACTTAATAAATGCGAAGCTGGTCGGGCATGTATCATCTGAGATACAGTAAAGACACAGTAAAGTACCCTCTAACCTAACAGCAAAACAACGGGAGGGACTCAAATCCTTGATTGCAATAAAAGAAGAACTCCACTTCTCGAGAAGCGACAAGGGGGGTGAGTTTGTGATTATGAGTAGTGGAGTACAACAGCAGATTACGCAGAAACATCTGTCAGACATGAGCTCGCAAGAAGCGTACACCTACGTTGCACCTACCACCACGCGACAAAATCGGATCCAACCAATAGCAAACCCCTCAGAAGTCTCCTACAGCCGCCTCATCAACAGGGTTACTGAGAGACTAGAGAGTGAGAGTAATGTGTTATGGACAGAGATAAGTAGGATGTGTAATTACGACAGAAAAACAGTAGACTTATTTAAATCACATAATACCCAACTACCGACTATTTATTTAATACAGAAAACTCATAAATTTGATTGTAATGTCTTAGTTTCAGATGTAGATATTATTTCTAATTGTAAAATACGTCCAATTGTGTCTTGTATAAATTCCCCTTCTGAGAAGCTTGCTTGGATTGTTAAATCTATTCTCCTCTGCTTAATCATGTTCCATCTCACCTGAGCAATATACACACTCACCTAGAAGAGCTTCAAAACATGTCACATCAACAACTCTCAGGTCTCTCATTCTTCACAGCTGACGTCACAACACTGTACACAAACATCAACATCAGTGGCTGCATTCAAGACCTCATTACACTCACCGAAGAACATTGGGAAGACCTCGACACCTGGGGTCTAACACTCACGCACATCCACAAGATCCTTGAATTCGTCTTCACCAACTCATACTTTACATATCACTCAAGACTCTACCTCCAGAAAATTGGTCTCTTCATGGGGTGCCAACCATCACCAATAGGAGCGATAGTACGAGTACATATGTTCGAGAGAAGATCGATTTACACTGATTTACACGTCTCATTCTACCGGAGATACGTGGATGATGCCGGGAGTCTAGCCAGCTCCAAAGAAGAAGCTCTGAGGATAGTGGAGTCCATCTCAAACGAGGACCCAGACCAGTTGCTCAAATGGGAAATTGACTATCCGGAAAGCCGTCAGGATTTCACCCCATTCCTCGACACCCAGATAAAGATCGACGAACAGGGAACACTACACCACAAATTCTACAGAAAGAAGCAGAAAAAGAATATCACACTGCACGCCAACAGCCACCACAATGAGGGAACTAAAGTAGCCACCATCAAGAACTTCTACAAAACGGCTGCTTTTTGCTCATCAACACCAGAGTATAAAGAAGAGTCCATGAAGATAGTAGACAACTTGTTGGTCAACAACGGTTACCAAGACCCACGACGTATAAACAAAACAGGACGACTTCACCCTCTCTCACCTACAACACGTCATAACCCTTCATCATCAAACATACAAGATACCGACCACGTAACATGCACTCTACCATTCATCAACGAGCCATTTTCCAAAGAAGTCACTCAATTTGCCCTCTCACACAACTTACCGGTCAAATTCATATTCACACCAGGTAAGAAACTCTCAGAGATCTTATGTTCATCACGACCACACGACAAACCACACTGCACCATACCAAACTGTATCATATGTCCACTCATCACAACAAATCACGACTGCAAACCAAAATGTGTCACATACAAAGTTACATGTAAATTATGTCAAGAGCTATATATAGGGGAAACGAGTAGAACAGCACACGATAGATTTTCAGAGCATCGAAGAGCAGTCAACAGGCCTTTAACCTATCCTGATAATGCGTTGGCTGCTCATTATTCAGAGTTTCACAATAACTTAGAACCAGATATTTCCTTCGATATTTTAGAAATTAACTTATATAGCACCATTAAACGTAAAGTGACAGAAGCTTACTACATTAATTTATTTAAACCTAGTATCAATAACAAAGAAGAGTGCGAGAAGCTTAAGGGATTTCTTTTACAACATATTCAAAGACAAATTTAAACAAATAGCACACGACCCTTATGTTCAGTAGATATTATGTACTTGGACAGAGTGTAAAACGTGTGTACATCACTATTTTCAATGTAATGTATAATACCATTTGATGTAACCTCTATTCAGTGTGTGTAATTTCAATTTAGCATTTTAACTAGTATAGAAGCATTTATTATATACTAACATTTATAACAATTTTAGCCTGAAGATGGCGTTGACGCCGAAAATTTGCCCTTACTCCTAACTTCCTTGTTTCACTTGTCCTTGTCTCTTCCAACCGGATAATATCCAGATATCAGATACACAAAATGCTTGATAACTTCGTCATTTCTAATCTGTTTCACGTCATTTTTTAGATCAGATGCAACATTTAATAATCTACCATCTCTGAAACAAGAATTGCGCCCGTTTGTTCGACTGTCGGCGGACGCTAGATTTCCATCCACTTGCACCAAATGTCCAAATTTTATCATAATTTGGCCTTAAATTGATTTTTCGTTTCTTGTGTCACGTGAATTGGCTTAATTGACTAGCTGAATTAATTGTGAATACTGAATAGTGACATTAAATCAAAATACAAGTTGATCGTTGTACCTTAGCTGAGAAGGTCAGCCAATGCAATTAGAGTTGGCCGGACCAGCTTAATATAATTGTAATAAACGAACGTCAGTCGCTTGAATAATAACCAAATGTGAACATTATGACAAACGTAATATTGCACATTAACCAAACTCCTCGAGGTAAAATCTATTGTAGGCAATAGTACTTGGTTTCCAAAGTAACACAATACCATACAAAACATATCAAAACATTCCAATAAAAACCCTGTCACGGCAACATAAACCTCGTCAAAACATATGTCGTATTTTATTAACTTATCTGGTGCCAAGTCGGTTGAACATCCTAGTACAAATAAAATTATTAACAACTTGTACCTCATCAAAGTGATAGGTTTGTAAACTTATATTGAGAACAACAAATCAAACCTAACTTGGCGTATAAATTTCGGAAAGACTGTATTTGGTGCGCGTTGATCGATTTACATTAACGTGACGGGAGCAGGACTATTGAGCGGTGGACTGTTGAGCGTAGGACTGTAGGTCGGTGAAGGTCGGAAGTAGGACTGTAGACAGTAGAGCGGTGTCAAATCGCCAGGGTAGGACTCTAGAGCGGCCACCCTTATAGATCTCACAACATGAGGACTTTAGAGCGATACGATCCTAAAATGAGGACTGTAGAGCGTTGGACTGTTGAGCGGTGGACTGTAGGCCGGTGAAGGTCGGAAGTAGGACTGTAGAGCGGCCCTCCCTTATAGATCCCATAACATGAGGACTCTAGAGCGGTACCCTACTATAACATGAGGACTCTATAGCGGTTGAAAATTTGAAGATTGAACACTCAACGAAGCTAAGTTATACATTGTAACTCGTGATTGATTATGGTCATGACATTCTAGGATGATAACTTTATTAAAGAGTCATGGAGTTAATGAACATTTTCATTTACTTATTATAAATATTTCATTACTAATATTATAGTGTAACTTAATTTAAGATTATTGGTCGGTCTCAACGTCTTCCAAATGATTGAAATATTCCCCTGGGCCTGCTACTCGAAAATGTATAACGTGTCTTCGGTATTTTAGTGAACCTTTGAAATCCTAACAAGATATCTCACTGCGATGGGATCTGATCTGAATCAGTTCCGTCACCAGATTGATGAACATCAGATATCCTTAGTAGGCGCTAAAGCGACACGCGATGCGATCCTCATTCCTAAATTATCTGCACGAACTTGATCGGTACTCTGCTTAGCGAAATCACATTGATACGAACAGTAGTAGTAGAATGTTGTGAGATCTATAAGGGCGGCCGCTCTAGAGTCCTACCCTGTCGATTTGACACTGCTCTACAGTCCTACTGCCGACCTTCACCGACCTACAGTCCTACGCTCAACAGTCCTCCGCTCAATAGTCCTACAGCCTAACGTGACGTCACGCGAGGCAGACTCCAAGTAGACCCATCGCGATATCGGCTGTAGGAAGTACAATGCATCAGCGATTAATTTCTGCGCGCGCGCGGCTTTTCCGTTGCTTGGTAACATACGGAACGACACCATATTCAGACCCGACTACCGCTATCTCCAAAATCCACGTTTTTCTGCAAAAACCTCCATTCGTAACCTTCCACTTAAATTTTTTCAAAATGGTGGATGGAAAAAATCAGGCGTCCAGCATGTTCAGAAAGAACAATATAGGTGTTTTAATTTTGAATGTGCCTGGTCTTAAATATTCGAATTTTCAGATTTTGACGACGGAATCCTCGAACCAGAAGGTACAGTATGCCATCTGAAAAGCAACAGCTCTCAAATATAAAACACGGCGGAGCTATTAAGGCCAACACATGCCCACTGACTTTTGGCCCACCGTGACGTATAGATAAACGCAAGAACAGCAATTGCTCACTTCCCACCCTGAGAAACCCTTGCATGGTCTGGTAAGGAATGTATAGCTTAGTCACAACCCATTAATCCAGCTGAAGATATTGAACTGACGTTCCAGTTCGATGAGAATAAGTCAAACATCTTGCTAAATTGCGTTAATGTGACGTCAATCTTGCAAACGCTGAAGCCTAGAGTGCTTCGTTTCTTACTAAACTGATAAAACAGGGGAAGTGATATGAACTTTGTTACGTAAATGTCGCTATTTTTATAGTCGACATTTACGTAACAAAGTCGGATCAAGCTAAAATGTTATTGAATTGTGTTTGGCCATTCGAATTACGTTTGTCCTGAAAGAATTAAAACTGTAGCTTCTCAGATGACCGTGATATGAAGCATAACGAGTTTATTCATTACGTGTGATCAGGTGATTGGTTTACCTAATCACGTGATAAGGTGCCCCCGTTAACAACCCCGTTAAACATTATGGGAATTGTTAAGGGTGCCCAATTAAGGTGTCGTGTCACGGTGTCACATAATCACCCAGTCAATATTGTTAACGAGATACAGAAAATGCTTCATAACTTCGTCATTTCTAATCCGTTTTGCCTCATGTTTTCAGATCATATGCAACATTTGATAATCTACCGTCTCTGAAAACATTAGGCGTTCATCATGTTCAGAGAAAACAATATAGGTGTTTTAATATTGAATGGGCGTGGTCTAAAATATTCGAATTTTCACATTTTGACGACGGAATCCTCGAACCAGTAAGTACAGTATGCCATCTGCAAAGCAACAGTCGCCGTGTACTATATGTGAACCATAGGATACAACCATTTTACTTTCTCACCTCAATTCGTGTCGGTGTAGACCGTGGAATCTGAGTTTATTAGATGTCCACATCTGACCGGTTAGTCTAGAATGCCACACAACTAGGACACCACACAACTAGAATACCACACAACTAGAACACCACCCCAAGTCTAGAATACCACACAACTAGAACACCACATCAAGTCTAGAATACCACACAACTCACCAATGTACTGAAAGAGCTCACTAAATACATCGTTACGAACGAGTTCTGACTGATAACAAATCCCAGATGTGGAATGTCGTCGTACATTCCACTAAATCTAATGTGGTCTGACATAAACATGTAACTCGAATTTTTTTTTAATTGAGATTTTTATATGTGCGTGTTTGTTAGAAAATTCTGCATCAGATGAGCCCTTTTTTGTAGCTGAGAAAGGCCCGGAAGTGTGATTTCCCAACATGTAACTTTCCAAGAGGTAGTAAAAACCACGTAAAAAGCTCGTAAAAACACGTAAGAAAGATACATGTTTTTGTCAGAAAGTTATGACAATGAATTGGATTAGAATCACCTATGTATGAAACATACATGTTTTTGTCAGATCTGTTGCACGTGTATTTTAGTGCAGCTGCAGCTGCACGTGCTGAAATTTCACTTCCATCTTGCCGTTACTGGTTTCGTTGTAGCTTGAGCAGCTGGCTGTTGAATGCTCAAGTTAATCACGCTTGCACCTTGTTAATCATAGTGCTATGATAACAGGCCACTTAAATAATATAACAACGAAATTTGTACACATTTCCTTTGAAACATTAGTGCATTATATTAGCATATTCTAAGAAATGATATCGATTTTAACGGTCCAAGTTAATTCCCATCTGTTTTGTTAGCTGATGGACATTCAATAAAGTTGTGCGATAGCAGATAGGTATATTTTAGTTTAGGTACATATTATCATTTAAGAATAGGATTATATTGAAATTTGTAATAACTTTAATCTTTATGTAATCACGTTCTAATCCTAATGAAGTAATTGCTCAGTAGTATTTATATATAGTTTATATTTTGTTTGTTGTGAATTATCATGAGTCACCTTCACCTCAAATTGTACCGTTTAGATTCCACAGTTTCAGCACCTCAAATCATATAAGTTCTCATTTTCCCAGCAATAAATTTCATACTTTCGTTAAGGTTTGTATACGCATTGAGGAGGAGAAGGAGGTGGATGAGGAGGATGATGAGGTCTGAGGAGAAGGAGAAGAAGGTGAAGGAGGACTGACGAGGAGACGGAGGAGGACTGAGGAGGAGGAAGAGGAGGAGGAGAAGGACTAAGGAGGAGAAGGAGGACCCAGGAGGAGGATAACTGAGGAGAAGGACCGATGAGGAGGAGGAGGAGGAGGACTGAGGAGGAGGACCGAAGAGGAGGAGGAGGAGGACTGAGGAGGAGGATGAGGACTAAGGAGGAGAAGGAGGACCCAAGAGGAGGACCCAGGAAGAGGACTGAGGAGTAGGAGTAGGAGGACTGAGGAGGAGGAGGACTGAGGAGGAGGAGGACTGAGGACGAGAAGGACTGAGGAGGAGGAGAATGACTGAGGAGGACTGAGGAGAACTGAGGAGGAAGAGGAGGAGGACTGAATAGGAGGAGGAGTAGGGGGACTGGGGGAGGACTGAGGAGGACTGAGGAGGAGGAGGACTAAGGAGAAGGATGAGGAGGAGGGATGAGGACTGAGGAGGACTGAGGAGGAAGTGGAGGACTGAGGAGGATTGAGAAGGATAGCTGAGGAGGATGACTGAGGAGGAGAACTGAGGAGGAGGACTGAGAGGGACGAGGAGGGGGAAGACTGAGGAGAACAAGGAGGACTGATGAGGAGGATGAGGAGGAGGGTGACTGGGGGGAGGACTGAGGAGGAGGAAGAGCACTGAGGAGGAGGAGGAAGAGGAGAAGGACTGAGGAGGAGAAGGAGGACTGATAAGGAGGATGAGGAGGAGGGTGACTGGGGGAGAACTGAGGATGAGGAGGAGAAGGACTGAGGAGGAGGAGAATGACTGAGGAGGACTGAGGAGAACTGAGGAGGAAGAGGAGGAGGACTGAATAGGAGGAGGAGTAGGGGGACTGGGGGAGGACTGAGGAGGAGGAAGAGCACTGAGGAGGAGGAGGAAGAGGAGAAGGACTGAGGAGGAGAAGGAGGACTGATAAGGAGGATGAGGAGGAGGGTGACTGGGGGAGAACTGAGGATGAGGATGAGCACTGAGGAGGAGGAGGAAAAGGACTGAGGAGGCGGAGGAGGAGGCGGAGGACTGAGGAGAAGGATGAAGAGGAGGAGGACTGAGGAGAAGGAGGACTGAAGAGGAGGACTGAGGAGGAAGAGGAGGAGGACTGAGGAGGACTGAGGAGGAGGTGGAGGACTGAGGAGGATTGAGAAGGATGGCTGAGGAGGATGACTGAGGAGGAGGACTGAGGAGGAGGACTGAGAGGGACGAGGAGGAGGAGGAAGAGTGAGGAGAACAAGGAGGACTGATGAGGAGGATGAGGAGGAGGGTGACTGGGGGGAGGACTGAGGAGGAGGAAGAGCACTGAGGAGGAGGAGGAAGAGGAGAAGGACTGAGGAGGAGAAGGAGGACTGATAAGGAGGATGAGGAGGAGGGTGACTGGGGGAGAACTGAGGATGAGGATGAGCACTGAGGAGGAGGAGGAAGAGGACAGGGACTGAGGAGGCGGAGGAGGAGGCGGAGGACTGAGAGGGAGGAGGAGGAGGAGGAGGAGGAGGAGGAAGACTGAGGAGGAAGAGAAGAAGGACTGAGGGGGAGGAGGAAGAGGAGAAGGACTGAGGAGGAGAAGGAGGACTGATAAGGAGGATGAGGAGGAGGGTGACTGGGGGAGAACTGAGGATGAGGATGAGCACTGAGGAGGAGGAGGAAGAGGACAAGGAGGAGAAGGACTGAGGAGGAGGAGAATGACTGAGGAGGACTGAGGAGAACTGAGGAGGAAGAGGAGGAGGACTGAATAGGAGGAGGAGTAGGGGGACTGGGGGAGGACTGAGGAGGAGGAAGAGCACTGAGGAGGAGGAGGAAGAGGAGAAGGACTGAGGAGGAGAAGGAGGACTGAGAGGAGGATGAGGAGGAGGGTGACTGGGGGAGAACTGAGGATGAGGATGAGCACTGAGGAGGAGGAGGAAGAGGACAGGGACTGAGGAGGCGGAGAAGGAGGCGGAGGACTGAGGAGGAGGATGAAGAGGAGGAGGACTGAGGAGGAGGAGGACTGAAGAGGAGGACTGAGGAGGAAGAGGAGGAGAAATGAGGAGGACTGAGGAGAAGGGGGAGGAGGAGGAGGATTGAGGAGGATTGAGGAGGACTGAGGAGGATGACTGAGGAGGAGGACTGAGAGGGAGGAGGAGGAGGAGGAGGAGGAAGACTGAGGAGGAAGAGAAGAAGGACTGAGGGGGAGGAGGACTGAGGAGGAGGAGGACTGAGGAGGACTGATGAGGAGGATGTGGAGGAGGGTGACTGGGGGAGGAGGAGGAAGAGGAGGACTGAGAAGGAGGATCAGGAGGACTGAGGAGGAGGAGGACTGAGGAGGAGGAGGAGGACTGAATAGGAGGAGTAGGGGGACTGGGGGAGGACTGAGGAAGACTGAGGAGGAGGACTAAGGAGAAGGATGAGGAGGAGGAGGATGAGGACTGAGGATGGCTGAGGAGGATGACTGAGAGAGAGGAGGAGGAGGAGGTGTAGGAGGAGGAGGACTGAGGATAACTGAGGAGGAGAAGGAGGACTGAGGAGAAGGAGGAGGAAGCATTTCAATGTTATTTCCATTTTTGTTATTTTTGTCCGTTTTTGTCCGCTCTTTATTTTTGTCTGTTTTGAAAATACACCAAATTTATACTGACATCAACGTAAATACATAATTTAACTCAGCCATAGGTTCCGTACAGACTCAACTCTGCACCCGTGTCAATATGTTCAATATATGCAAGCCTCTTGATTTATATACATTAAAAACAAATTTATGGTAATTTGACGAATTTACAAATGAACTTCAGTCCCAAATATTAATAAGTCAAATTACATGTTTTTGTCAGATTTTGATTGGCACTTAATTCATGAAAACAAGCATGTATGAATCATACATGTTTTTGTCAGATTATAAATAAATCGTTTACCCATCACACAAATCTGACAAAAACAAGTTTACCCTATATTTTATTCCAGTATGCTATTCTTCAGTTTTCTTTCCTAGTCATAGTTAAGTTAGCTAATCAGCTATGCTACTGCAAAAAAATGGAGAAAAAATTCGAAAATCCAATGATTTTAGAGTAAAAAAGGCGTTTATGCGATTTTCTCAAAATGGTAAAAACCCTAGTTACATGTTTATGTCAGACCACATTAGAAATATAGGTATGGCTAGAATTATGTAACTCAGAATGGCCCCAATGTAATCGCTTGTGTTTACTGCTATGCTGAGAAGGAGTTGCTTGGTTACTATCTTCTGCTTAGAATCCAGGATAGATTTCAACGTCGCCTGAAAATGATGAGATTAACCAAAACCATAGTTGGTCAGTACGCACTGTACGAACTTTTAAAAGGTGCCGAACTGTACGAATTTTAAAAAGCTGTCGAGGAATTTTTACCGAATTTTAAACCACTTACCACCGACCGATTTGAAAAACCTTAATCATTTGGCTTCGTCAGAGTTTTGTCGGCACTATTTGGGCACTATACAGACAGACAGACACTAGACAGACACACACACACACATCTATTGAGATTATTAGTATATATTGGTTGTTTGTTTGTTTGTTTGTTTATAGAACCCGTCCCCAATCTCGTATCGGAAAATGACTAAACTCAGGTCTGAGTGTGAATACGGGTGGTACCTGCAAGAGTGTTTATTAAGCATTTAGAGTTCTGTAAAACTGCAGTTACAATTGTGCTAGAGTATTTTTAGTATATACGATTGGTATCAGATATATATCCCTACATGCTTCCAAAATTTGTAAAGCCGTAGTACATACATATCACATTACACCGGAGCCTACACAGTGCAATCTCCTCCAGTCGATCTGCGCCGCGTATGTTTATATAAGCGCGCGGCGCAGACTGTAGACTGGAGGAAACCACACTCTGCAAGTTCGATCCAGTGCAATGCTACATGTACGTACTACGGCTTCATCTCCAACTTTCTGCACAATGTACTGGAATGTTTTGAAGGAAAAGAAAGAACAAAAAAAAGTGATACATATAAATAAAATCAGCGATTTAATGTTAGCCTTAGGAGGGTAACTTTAATTCCCTGGTTTCTAAAATCAGCTATTAAAAAAAATAATAAAGTATGTAACGTCGAT